CGGCCTCGTTTCCTGACTCCTCCGGGATGGGCTTGAGTCCCTCCTGGGGGAGAAACTCCTCAGCCCCCTCGGCCTCGGCGTGTCGTGCGAGGGCCAGGCCCTCTGCCCCACCAGGACCTCCTGGGCCCGCCCCAGAAGCACTTCCCATGTGGGCAAGAGTGGGGCCCCCGGGGGCCTCTGAGGGTCCTGCCTGACCTAGGCCCGCTGGGGTGGGAGCATCTTCATCTCCCTGAGTGGCAGGGGAGGCCTTGGTGGTTTCCTCAGGGGCAGGGGCTGCCCCAGTGGCAACAGCAGTTTCAGGAGCAGCCTCAGCAGGGTCAACAGTGCCAGGACCTGCATCACTGGCCTCTGCATTGGCCAGGGTGGCCTGGGCACCATCTTCACGGTCTGGCAAGGCCTAGGCACTATCTGCATAGCTTAGGGCAGACTGGGTGCCATCTTCATGGACTAGGAAGGCCCAGGCACCTGTTCCTGGCCTGGTGAGACCTGGGCACCATCTTCACGAACTGGAACAGCCTGGGGAGCATATTCATGGGCGAGGGCATCCTGGGCACCATCTTCATCGGCTGGGGCGGCCTGGGCACCATCTTCATGGCCTGGGGTGGCCTGGGCAGCAGCCAGGTCTCCAACGTCCACAAGGGCCCCTTCTTCGAACACTTGGAACTGCTGGCCCCTATCCGGGGTGGCCTCCCATGCCTCTGTCTCCCGAATGAGACGCAGCATCCCCATGAAGCCAGGCGGTCTCCTCTCCAGCCACATCCTCCTCAGCTTGTTCCGGAGCGTCTCGTTGGGGCGGGCCCGCATCAGCACCTGCCGGGCACGCACCTGGTCTGCCACGGTAGGGTGGACGGCCCCCTTCTCCATGGCCAGCTGCAGCAGGCCTTCCAGGCGCATCACGTAGGCATAGAGAGTCTCCTGGGGCCGCTGAACACAAGTCATGAACTTCAGTCGTGAGGTCATGCGGGTGTCCTTGTTCCCGAACACCTGCACCAGCGCGGCCAGGCAGTCCTGTGCAGTGATGGCGGGATTTTCATCCAGAAGGCCGCACATGAGATCCAGCGCGGGGCCGCCCAAGCTCTCCACCAGCCCCCTCCTCCTCTCCCTC